TTTTAATATGTAGTGTTAGTTTTAGGTTTTTCTTTGGCTGCTTTGTCACTGATTTTCAGCTCAGTCCTTGTACCTGACCATTTTCAAGGGGATGTTTGTTTGTTAAGCTACTTAAGATTGACCTGAATCATTCAAGCAGCAGTACCAGTAGTGGTAGTAGTACCAGCTACACATTATACATGCTTGTTTCTTGCAGAGCCGCACAGTCTGGACTCAGGAGGTTGTGTCATATGTGGAGTTCTCCGGTTTGCCTCTGGGTCAGAAATATTGCGCTGAGGCCAACTTCTCCTTCCCAACCTTTGCCATGGCGGCTTCACCGAAATCAGCCCCTCAGTGCGTTGAAACAGTCGCCAGTTCAGGTGAGGAGATGAGATACAGTTTACTTTAAAAACTAGAGGTTGCCAAATTAGCAGCAACCCGAACCATCTTCACGTTTGATAGCTTAAGAAATCACTGCTGCTTCTATAGTTTTGACACTGAGAACAGAAAACAGACCTGTCCATGGATCATTCACAACAGATCCTACTTTCATTAGTTATGAGGTCCAAAATACTGCTTAGGTGCTATTAGGATACTAAGAACCTCCCATGAAACTGCAAGACAGCCTCATAAAGACAGCTGTGCTTGGATCCTTAAATGATGTGAACCACACTTCATAAGTCCAAGAGGTTAGCTAGATCTCCTGCAGAAGCTTGGCTTGCCTCTTCCTGCAGCTTTTCTGGTGATGCAACTTGTAAATCTTGGGTCTGAAATTATTTAGTGTAGCTCTATGCTTTTTTGAGCAGAGACATGTTCAACCTGCATGCATTTCTTCCCTACAGGGCTGCTGCCGGCGCTGTGTATGGGAATTGGCCTGACTTCCCTCCTTCTTTTCCCAATTCTCATCATGTATCTACGAAAATCAAGACAAGCTACACCAGCCACTGAGAATCAGCCCAAGGCTCCGGTATGATTTATTGTGTTTCACTTTATTTCACCCTCTGTTTTCTAAAATACTTAAACACGTGCAGTTTTCCAGAATAAAACATTTCTTCTTTCATTCCTTAAGTCGTCTGTTCAAGATCCGATCCCTTTGGTTCCTCTGTCCCCGGGTACAGTCGACCCTTGTGAGATCCACTTGGAGTTTATTCCTGACCATGTTTCCACCGAGCCCTTCTCTGGTATTGTGTCCAATCAGAATCTAAATCACAAACAGGGAAGCATGCACTCCAGCAATCGTCTCAATTATGACACCAAATTGGATGAAGTGTACTGGGACAGCGGAGGGATGGAGCTAGATCGCGGCCTGGACTCTGGCATCAGCATCCCACCTGTTTCTCGCTCTTCTGAAGAGACATGTGGGCCCCATGGAGACTGATACTGAAAAGTTTAGAGCTTTCTCTTCGTGAATGTTGCTCTGCAAGGCTGGAGTTTGCCTCTTTCTCCCTCAGGGATGAAATAGGAGACTAAACTGCTCGAAGTATGGACTGGTCCATTTAAAATTTTTGGATGTGTTTCATCTATTATGGTCAAACACATTATGATTATCTGGAAGTTGACAACAAGTTGTCTTCATAGATTTTGGAAGCTAAACCTTTAAGCAAACATTGACAAGAAGGCCCTAAACACAGGATAAATTTAAGCCTTAAAAACTACAGTTTCAGAAAACCTTTTCTGCTGATGAAAACCAAGTGAGAGGACTGAAACCTACAGACTGACTGTTAAATAGATACCCAGGTTCAAAAATGAACTGTAACAGGAAATTGTCTTTTCCCCAGTTTGTAAGTACACATACACAAAATCTTTAGCTGAAGTCAAGAGCACCTGGTTAGATTTTTTGTCTACAAAAAAATAAATAAATCTGCAGAACTGAGTTAACTACAATCACACTAAAAAGAACATTTTCACAAGACTGGATAGAGTCTTAAAAAATAAGTACACCCCATGATTTGGGTATCCAGACGAGTACCCAAATCATGGGGTACTCCTCATGATTTGGGAGTACCCCAAATCATGGCCCCAAATCAGGCCCTGTGCCTGCAAAACAAGTCTAAATCATCACCCGTGCACCACCGTGTGTCACAGTGGCTATGACGTGTTTGGTTTTCTCCAAATGTGGTGCTGTACTTCATGGCCACACATCTCCACTTAGGTCTCATCTGTCCAAAGAACATTGTTCCAGAACTTGTGGTTTGTTCAGAAGCAACTTTGTAACCTCAGCCGAGCTGCCTTTTTTGTTTTTAGAGAGAAAAGAGACTTTCTTCTGACAACCTCTCCAAACACATCAAACAATGCTCAGTTTTTTTCTAATTGTACTGATATGAACCATTTAAGTGGCTAACTGAGCCCTGTAGTGTCTGAGAAACAGCAAAAAACCCGTAAGCTATGTCTACCTTGAGGTGAATTTGCTGGGATGGAAACTCCTGGGAAGATTTAGCAATGCGTTAAAACACAAATCAGATAACTGCCAAAACGTCTGCTTGCATAGAGGCTGTCGGACTTGCTGATGAACAGGTAATCAAGTGCATTTGATTATCACCACCCTCTTCATTTCTGTCGAAGCAGTAAAAGATGTCGTTTTTCATAGGATTACACCGAACCTGCGATTGCTTACTTTTTCACATGACTGCAGACGGCTCAGCACTGCAACTACAAAGACAACAGTTTGAACCATTAAGATCTGTTAGCTTAATATTTTAACCATTATTCAACTACTTCTAGTACAAAACAGCAGTGATACGTTGTGTTCACCAGTGACCACTTTCCCCCAGTTATTCATTATCAGCAAATAATTTCAGTTGTGCTATTAGCTATTTCGATTGTTATCCGTGCTGTTAGCTTGCAGCTGAAATGCTAGCCATTGCAGTATTGTGTTTCAATTGTCTATCCATGATAATCAGTGGTATCATTAGCTTCTCAGATATGTCTAACTGTTACCCATGTTGCTTTTTAATGATCAATTTCTATCATTTGTTCACATTTTGGATGTGTATAGTTAAAGGTTATTACATGGGCTGACCTCCTGGGAAGATTGTAGCAACACATTAACGCACAGTTGTGCTATTAGCTATTTCAGCTGTTATCCTTTTTATCTTACAATTCACATGCAAGCCACTGTACTACTGTATTTTAAATGTTTATCCATTACATTCGATGCAATATTGTTTGAAATATGATAGCCAGACTACTTTTAATTACCCTTTTCTATCATTTTGACCAATATATTTTTAAAAATAATTTATGCATATTGCCATTACTTAGTTTTTTTAAATTCTGCTTCTTATTTTTTTTGAGGGGGGCGCTGTCATGCTTGTTCAAGTCCACCCAGTTCTGTAAACACCCAGCTGTTGTAGAAACAGGCTACGTCCTAATTGGGAGTTACTGTGAGGCTTTTAATGGGTCCTCAGCACCCAATACTTGTCTTCTATTTTGGTTCTAATTAACAGACTGGCTGCTGTGTTGGTTGGTCAGGGGGCACCAGGGTTGTCCAATGAGTTTTCATGAGTTCACCCCCGCCAAGGAGCGTCTTTGACGTGGATAATGGCTCCCTTAGGTTTGTTTGGGTGCCGTCTGTGCTTAACCTCTGAACTTTCCTTCTCAGATTAGGCATCACATTGCAGAGAGAGCGATAAACAGAGGCCACCAGTTTACTGCTCACACTATGATTGTGTTTTGTTGTCCGCTTTGAAGTAATAGAAATGTGGCTCCTAATCTGAAACCTACAAGCAGATTCCTGTCAGATATGAGTCAGTGTTTCAGGAAGAGGGTCAGAGAACTAGATGGTGAGTGAAAATTATCAGTCAAGCAAAAATAGTTTATCTGGGAGGTCCAAAAGAAGCCGTTTTGTGTGCGTGTGTAAACGTCAACTTACTCGGAGAGTGGTTCTTGTCCCCCCTGCTTTTTGTGCCGAATTCCACTCCAAACCATAACTTCATAAACAAGAGCAAGGAAAACTTTAGACCCCCCACATACTGCCGGCAGCTCTGCCGATAACATAGTGTGTTATTTTTCTGTCATTCATTGCTGTAAAATGTTTCTGACTCACAGTTGCCCCATCAGAGCTTTGCTGCCTCTAACCCGTGACTCGCACCTCATCCTGCATGAAGACAAGAAACATCTTGACATCTCACTTTTTTGCCTTCTGTTTTGCTGGTTTTGCATTCTTTCCGCAACATTGGGAAGTCCTGCGGGTTTGGCCATCCAATATTGTTTGTTTCCCCATCTGACTTTTCCAGAGTCCACAGAGACCTGGGGGGTTACCAAAGCTCCACATACAAGCCTTTGGTTTGGCTTTGTTAATAACTACAGCGCATTATCTGCCATTTGTATTATTCAAGAAGTTTTTTTGACCGGGTTTTTTTTTTATCAGCCTCCAGTCTGTGACAGCTCTCTGCTTCCTGATAATGACATAGAGTTTACCTATAACACTTGTTTACAAACTGATAAATTATCCTTGTAGCAAAAACTTTCGTAATCTTAAAGGTAATCACGTTTTCCTCTTAAGGCTTAGTTACTTGTGTTGAAAGTGATGGCTTTTTAATCTCATGCCTAATACCTAATCTACATGTAGTTTAACACAACTTTACACAATAATGTTTAGAGCACCTCTTGACCATTTCGCAGCAGTGAGGTTTTTATGTTTTTCTGGTTTGGATGTGTGCTGGCCCTTGAGAGACTCCTAATTTAAAAAGTCATTGCTTCATTGTAAAAAGCAACAAGCAATATGAATAAAAAAATAATATATTTGTGATTTCTAATCCTTGAATGCAGCTCAGCTACAAAAGAGTTTGATAAAAATAGAACTGAGCGAAATGAAGAGTAACTCCTACCTGGTATGGTGTGAAAAACAAATTGCCTCCTAAACCTAATAACTGGTTTTGCTGTCCTTCCCACTAAGAACTGCAATCAGGCATTTGTGATTACTGGCAGTGAGTCTCTCACATCACTATGGAGATACTTTAGCCACTCCTCTTTGCACAACAGTAGTCACTTTCCCAGCATGAGTGACCTTTTGAAGGTCCTTTTAAAGGTCATGCCAAAATATTTTAATTGGATTTACGTCTGGACTTTGACTAGGCCACTCCAAAACCTTCATTTTGTTTGTTTAGCCATCTTGAATTGGAGTCCCTGTTGTGTTTCTGACCATTGTCCTCCTCTATAACCCGAGTGCTCTTGAGCTACAGGGCATGAAGTGATGGTCCAATACTCTCCTTCAAGATTGTTTGGTAGAGAGCAGGACTCATAGTTCCAACAATTACAGCAAAGCAGCCCCAGACCATCACACTACCATCACCATGTTTGACTGCTGGTATGAAATGCTGTGTTAGTTTAGGTCTGCTCAAACAGGACTCCAACCCTTCAAAAAGTTATGTCAGTATTATTTTTTCCCTTGAACTCTCCCATGGATGTCATTTTTGCCCAGTCTCTCTCATATTGTTGAATCATAAACTCAGAAATCAGTAAAAGGGGCAAATACGTTTTCTTTAATATAATAAAGATGCTGTGGGATGATTAACCATTGTGAAGTAACCCCTGTGGGTTAAAAGTTCAGCTAATACTGAACTAGATGAGGTTTGTTTTCAGTGAAGATTTGAATCATACTGGAGGGACAGAGGACCTGACCTTAGTTGAGGCGAGGTAGGTCCAGAATTTCCAGGAAGGCCTCTTTATTTATTCTCTGTCATCTGATCAGGATATTTGGTTTTGATAGATTTGTTTTATGCCAGAGGGCATCTTCTTGAGCCAATGTGTAAATCTTCCAGGTCAAAAGAACGATTCTGTTTGTGGTCACCGTTCCTGGGTACAGAGCAATCGCATGGCGAATGAAAACAGGTTTGTGGTTGAACCTGATGTATTTGGACTGTTTTTGAGAGCCATTCAACAGCTGCAGTCCAAAGGTTGCATAATGTCAGGAAAAACCAAAACAAACCAAAAAAACCCAGATGTGCTTAAACTCAGAAAACATTGGTTCAGTTTAGTTTAAGTATTAAAGTGTACACATCACCTTGCTGATAAATGACACTAATATTCACCTTTAATTCTCATATTAACATTTAAGAGACCGAATTAATAGTTACAGATTTTAATAAAAGTTTGAGACTGTTCATTTCTTTGTAAATGAGTAAACTTACAAATCGAGCAGGTAATCAAATAATTATTTCATTTAGAGTAAGGCTGAACTTGATAACTAACAGAACAAACACTCTGGGTCATTTAACATATTTTAACTTGTTGTTACACACTTGTAAAACAAATAACCAACTTATCAGAAATGGATACTAATAAATGTATATCTTCTACTTCAATCACACACACTGGCTTATGTTTCATGTCTCTGTGCCTGGCAGGAAATACTTAGTCACTCGTTGAGTGACTCATCGGCCCTCTTGGGGTTCGACTTGTTTCCACCCCCAGCGTCGACAGTATGGCCGTCTGCAGATGGGCAGCAATGCTCAATTAAGAAACATGCTGCATGTCAAAAACACTG